ACCGTCGTCCTGTTTGCTCTCCGGCTCATCTCTCAAACATTTCTTCAGAAAACAAACTTCACACACAAAGAATGTGGAGCGTCAGCTGGACGGACGCACAAAGAGAAAACACAGGGTTCAGATCTGAAGCTGCTGCAACAGGACAAAACATCTGCTGCTGAAAACAGCCTCGTTCTACCAGTTCTGCATCCACTTTGGTTGTTCTGTTGTTTGTTTGTGGTCATTTTGCGTCTCTTTCTGCTCACTTTGCATCTGATGTTTGTTGTTTTGCATTTTTTGTCATCATTTTGTGTCTTTGTGATCATTTAGCATCTGATTTTAGCCGTTTTCTATCTTATTATGGTCATTTTGTGTCTCTTTCTGGTCTGATCTTAGTTGTTGTTTTGTCACTTTGTGTCTCTGTGTGATTGTTTTGTCTCTTTCTGGTAATTTTACATCAAATTTTTGTAGTTTTGTGTCTTTTTGTGGTCATTTTGTGTCTCTTTGGGGATATTCAGTGTCTGACTTTGGTTGTTTTTTGTCATGTTCGGGTCATTTTGTGTCTCTTTCTGCTCAGTTTGCATCTGATGTTGGTTGTTTTATGTGTCTTTGTTTTTGTTATTTGTCTCTGTGGTCATTTTCCATCCCTTTGTGGTCCTTTTGCATCAGGTTGTTGTAGTTTTGTGTCTTTTTATGGTCATTTTGTGCCTCTTTGTGGTTGTTTTTTGTCTCTTTGTGGTCATTTGTGTCATTTTAGGGTCATTTTGCATCTCTTTGTCATTGTTTTTGTCTCTTTCTGGTCATTTTGCAACAGATTTTGGCACTCTTATGCATCTTTGTTTTAGTTATTTGTCTGTGGTCATTTTCCATCCCTTTGTGGTCCTTTTGCATCAGGTTGTTGTAGTTTCGTGTCCTTTTATGGTCATTTGTGTCTCTTTGTGGTTGTTTTTTGTCTCTTTGTGGTCATTTGTGTCTCTTTGTGGTTGTTTTTTGTCTCTTTGTGGTCATTTTTGTGTCTCTTTGTGGTTGTTTTTTATCTCTTTGGGGTCATTTAGTATCTGACTTTGGTTGTTTTTTGTCATTTGAGGGTCTTTTCACATCTCTGTCTGGTCACTTTGCATCTGATGTTGGTTGTTTTGTATTTTTTGTCGTCATTTTGTGGTCACTTCTGTCTCTGTGGTCATTTTGCATCTATTTGTGATTATTTATCGTCTGACTTTAGCTGTTTGGCGACACTTTGTGGTCATTTTGTGTCTCTTTGTGCTCGTTGTGTCTCTCTCTGGTCATTCTGTAACAGGTTTAGGCGCTCTTGTGTGTCTTTGTGTGTCTCTGTGGTCATTGTTGTGGTTGTTTTCCATCCATCAGCTGGATGATCAACATGTGGATTAACGTGCTGCTGAAGGTCGTCCCGACAGACGCGACATGTTTTGTTGTTTGTTTGAGCTGCAGACTGATCATCAGCACGGTTAACGACTAGTTCATTGATTCATTAGGTGTTTGGTGCTGGGAGCCTCCTGGAGCAGCGTCCAGGTGCTGGTTCTGGTCGTGTCCTCAGATGGTCCGGAGCTGTTTTAAACTCTTCACCGACTGAAAAATGTGTTTGTTAGTGCAACAGGCAGCGACTCATCACACACTTCACTGTTTGTGTGTTCTGGCCTCAGAGCGAGTGTGTGTTTGGAGGCCGGCGTGTCGAGGATCGCATCTCTGAGCGTCGGCCAATGAGGCGCTCCGATTAGCGGCTGAGAAAAACCCCTAATGGACTTATAATTGTTTGTGTGTGTCTGCGAGCATCGATCTCACTAATAACACAGAACAAACACACAACTGGACCGAGCCTTAAGCTGCCTGCTGATTGATGTGTTGTGTGTCTGTTGGTGTGTGTGTTGCCGTCGCCTTGAGGTCTTTCCAGGTCTTTCCAGGTCGCTGTAAACAAACAGGAAAGTCAGAAAGACCGAAGCACAAACGTGTTTCATTTTGTTTATGGATGAATCGGAGGGC